CAACATTTCTCATTTTTAAGCTTTTCATCCCATATTTATATTTTATTTCAGCTTTATTTAAATGACCAGAAAACTATTTTTAACAGCTTTAGTTTTGTAGTTAACAATAATAACACCGATGATTGAATGTTTGGATGAACTATTTCTTTAACAATTTAGACAGACACTCAATGCTGAAAGTCAAACCAAGATTACAGCAACATTCCAGCACCTTTTATAATATGATATATCTAATCAAATAGTTTATAATCACAAGATAATTATTAATAATAACTATTTATTTGATAGTTATGCCCTCTTTAGGCACTATTTGTATAGTGGGTTGCTAAAATAGTGCCACTTCGAAGATCAATCTGAGCTAATAACTGCTTCGGCAAGGAGGGAAAGCTTGTAAAGTACATTGTAAAATCAATCGGAGACATTAACCCATTGCTCCTGTTAACCCACTCTAAGTGTCTGCGATCTTAATGGCAGAAACTAAAGCTACACAGTTATTATAGCTGACACCCTAAAACATCAGAATCAATATTTAAGGCCTTTACTGCGGTATCAAATTCATCACAAGGCAGAATTAGCGTTCAATCACAGGTTGGATGCTTTTTTAAAAATATGTTGAGACAGGTCTGAATAAAAGTCATGTCAGGGTGCAAGGCCGCCGCATCGCACAGTGTCACCAAATTGAATGTCTCTCTCTAACGGGACATTTTTATAGACAGCAATAACAACAATGTCCTTAATCTAAGATAGAGCCATAAAACACGTGACCACCTTCATCTCAGCTTCTATTCAAGAAGTTATCAGCGAGAGAACGCTATCAGGATGTTCTCATTCCTCAACCATGCTCCTTATTAGATTGAAGAGCAACAATAAAACATTCTCTCATATGTTTTGGTTTTATTTCTTGGCTTTGGGTTTCACGGCTGTGTGGAGGATTTGATTTGACCTTGGCTGAACCTGAACACTGAGACATTTACCTTCAAGCTTGCTAACATGTATATATCGTTCTGAATAGGTTTTGGACACAGTCCTGCATTAATAATTCTTGGGAAACAGCAGTGTTTTGTGGTGCCTGGTTCTGAATGAGCCAAAGGTCCAAAGTTCCCCTCACAAACGTGACGCTTTTTCAGTCACACCGAGCGAAACGTGAGTCCGGCTGCCACTGAACGGATTCAGAAAGCTCAACTTAAAGCCCTCCGCATGAGTAGAGAGCGGACTTAAACCACATGGCTTAGTAGCCCAAATGTTCATTGGTAGGGAGAACGTCACATTCCAGACATACCTCCGGAACGTTCTAAAAAAGAAATGTGTAGAATATGGAAAATGTGAAAGGCTGTGATTGACGATTAAGGTTTGCTGGATGCTGGCCATTAGAGAAGTCTCTATGGAAACAGAAGCAGAGAGAACTGTGTCTTCTGACACCTTTTCTGCATCACCAATCATCAGTCTGATAACAAAGAAAGTGGGAAAAATGCAGTGCTAAAATACTTCACGCGGGGATCAAGGCTGTAGCTTTCAGACAAAAAAAATCACTTCTCGCTGTGTATTCGCTCGTGTTGCACAAGGACAGATTCTGCAGCAGCCCCTAACAAAAGGGACTAAGTGTAACTCTAAATCCTTATATTTACAGCATTTGAAAGCTGCTTTAAAACAAAACACTGGAATAAGCAGAGACGTTAAAGCAATTAAGTGAGCTGAATGTGTACTATTAATTTGGATACAATAATATCAACAGGGGAATAAATTGCAGAGGCGGGTAAACTGTCCTTCAGAAACGCCCTCTGAGATCATTTTTGACATAGACTGCCTTGGAAAAACAAAGATTAAATCAAGCCTATGAAAGTTAAACTAGATTAGAATCAAACCTCCTCTTTAGTGGTGTTTATTTTATTCATCTTAAAATGTAATAGTTAGTCACCTCTAAATCTAGAAAACTATGTGTATGTTTGTACTGTATATATTTATGGGTTATTCATTCTGCAATTTAGGGTACATTTCATGTCCACTGATGATAATTATATTTTTTTCGAACAATTTTCTTTAGAAATATCATATTTTATCCATTAAGAGAATACATTACATAATCTCACATTTATTTTGTGCACCCTGCTTTTTAGTTTGATTGAAAATGCCTTTATGTCCTTTCATGCTTTTTGAACTGATGAGTCTCGAGGTCAAAATAACGAATAAAAAATGTTAGTCAATATTATGTATATTAAAGGGATAGTTCACCTTCAGTTGCTGGTCCCCATTGACTTGCATAGTGTTTTTTTTCCATACTATGAAAGTCAATGGGGACCAGCAACTGAAGGTGAACTATACCTTTAAATTTATTTAATTTATCGAAATACCTTAGTTTAGAAATAGATTGTTTGAATTTTATTTTCTTTCCTATAAGAAAATAATCTATTTTACTCATATCCACAAAAAATTGTCAGCTGTTACTAACCAAACACTACGGTGGCCCAGTAGTGCACAAACACAACGAAATTTTCACAACAAAGAAATAATATTGTTGTGCTAATTTTGTTGGGTTGTGGCTTGTTTCTGTTGTGTTGTGAATTGTTTCTGTTGTCTTGCGCCTCGTGTCCATTGTGTTGTGCTAATTTCGTTGTGTTGTGGAGATTTCATTTGTTGTGCACTGCTGGACCACCGTAAAACACCCCCCTGAAAACTAAAAAATGGTTTATCACAAAACCATTTGTCCAGCATCATGTGATGTCATTTTGAAGACATTATTGGCCGTCATCTATGTTTGGTAGACTATGTTTGGTTTGCAGTATTTTTATGATTTTAATTCAAAATAATGTGGTTGACCTGATCAAGAAAATACCATTTGGTTGACCAGACAATGCCTGCCACTGAAATTATGAGTTAAAACATGTTGTTGTTATGTATGATTACAATGAATTATTTTCCCCAAAATGGTAGATGTGGGGTAAAGTGTGTCAGATGCTTTGAAGTAAGCTGTTGCTCAGCTAATACAGTTCTGCCATCAAATGTAGGAAAAACTATTACAAATATTATCATTATTACAAATAATATGTCAAAAAAAAATAGTTAGCTAGTTGAATATACAGCAAAATAAGACTTAAAAAGACTTGAAATAAGATGTCACATGACTGGCCAAGGGCTTTGCAGCACACTAAAATCTAAAAAAGGAGACTACTCATGCAAACCAAACATCATGGTTTGTCTAGAGTCACTTTACAGTAATAAAATGGGGAATAATTCCCCAAAACATCATTGTAGCAAAGCAAATCATAAGGATACACCCATTATATTGGTGCATAAAACGACAAGTATTTTGCTAGAACGAGACGGCAAACCACGGAGCGCAGACATTCAGAGTACTGGCCTTAGTTATAAAAACCAGAAAGGTCAAAACATCAATGAAGTAATTCATTCGCCTGGGGTGGAAAACACACACAAATAATAGAAATGCACAAATAAAAGACGGGAAAATAAATAGTGGTGTATTTAAAATGCCTCTGTTGTTTTACGCAGATCATAAAGTTTCAGAGCGATGAGCATTGCATGGTCACAACCATGTGCTTTTGTTTTGTTCAAGAGCCGCAAAAAGTGATGTCATCTATACTTATGCAAAACCAGTGTGGGGGTAATTGTCTTTGTAATAGCAGAGCCCACTTAAAACCGTCTGAAACTATGAGGAGAAAAACAACTGGAATCGTGGAAAGACTTGATGCTGAATATTCTACCAGCTCTTGCGGCTAAACAGCTTTTCACTTTCAAAGTTACAGAGCATGTTCCAGCCGATTATGTCATTTTTGAGTGTCTTGTAAAAGCCTGTATGGTATTAGCATGTTTCTAAATGGGTTTTATAAAGATCATTTTTATGATAATGTCTAAGATAGTCTAAGATTACAGTGACATTATCATTTCTAACATTTTTAGCATTTTTCAGGCCAAGGATAGAGAGAAGGAGCAGGGACCCCTTGTTACATAATGTACAGAACTGAGGGTAGCATTTTAAGTTTTACACTATGACACTTACATTGCAAAACCATTAAAATAATCATTATTGATTAGCTATATTGGCACATTACATTTTGTGAGAAGGACAGGGAAACATTTAATGGAATTTTAGCTCATAACTTTAGCTTTAGTTGTATTTTTGTTTACCGCACATTACCTTTTTTCTCAGAAAGTATGGACAATTAAATATTAGTAAAAAAAAATACAGTTTAGCAATCGATGCCCTGTTGAAGATCCCTGATATAGAAATTAAGAACTTAACTAATTTCAGAAATATTCATTAAAAACATTTAACATCAAAATCAAAAATGATAAATATACTATCGTTCAAAGGTTTGGAGTCAGTAATTTTTAAAAATAAATTAATACCTTTTTTCTGCAAGGATATAGGCCTATTAAATTAGTCAAATGTGATTAATATATTTATAATGTAACAAAAGACTTTAATTTCAAATAAATGCTGTTACTTTCTATTCATTAAAGAAACTTTAAAATGTAGCAGTTTGCACAAAATTATTAAGCAGCACAACTATATTCAACATTGATAATAATAAGAAATGTTTCTTGAGCACCAAATTAGCATATTAGAATGATTTCTGAAGGATCATGTGACACTGAAAACTGGAGTAATGGCTGCTGAAAATTCAGCTTTGAAATCACAGGAATCAATTACATTTTGAAATATATTAAAATTGAATAGTATTTCACAATATTACTGTTTCTTTCTATACTTTATTTTTGATCAGTCTTGGCGAGCAGACTACTTTTAAAAACATTACAAATCTTACCGACCCCAAAGGTTTGAACAGAGTAAATGTTTTGTGCCTTGTCTAATTAAAAAGGAAAAGGACCTTGATGATGCAGTGAGTCCAACCAGAAATCTCCATCAAGAGCACTTTGCCAACATTCTTCAATGCACTTTTCATATATAAGGTTATCCTTCATCTCTTTTCTCCCCGAGAACTCATTTCTGAAAGCTCAGTGTGTTCAAGAGGGACTAACTGTACCTGAGAGAAATGGAGGTTCCGTTGACAGACTCTGAGTGCCGTCTGCTCGGACTAAAGCCCCCCTGTGGGGCATAGTGCTCATTTCCACAGCACAGGATCATAAGAAAGGCTCTCCGAAAAGCCCGGTTCAGAAAAGCATATAGGAACGGATTCAAGCCCGAGTTGATGTAACCCAACCAGAGCCAAGCGGTCCACATCTGCCAGGGCACGCTGTAATTGATGAAGGGATCCACCACGTTGGTGATAAAGAAGGGTGCCCAGCACAGACAGAAGCAGCCCATGATGACAGCCAGCGTCTTGGCTGCCTTGGTTTCGGTCTTAATGCGACTGGAGCCATGGTGATCGTGGTTGGGGTAAGTCGAAGAAGGGGCTGAACCGGCCCGGTGCAGCGAGCCGATTCGCCGAGCGTGTCCCATAGCGGTGACATAGATTCGCTGATAGGCGAGAACCATCAGCACCAGAGGCACATAGAAGGCCACGGCCGAACACACCAGAGCATAGGGTCGGTTCACCATGAACACACAAGTCGAATTACGGGAGGAGTTGAAATTTCTTTGTTCGATCTGGGAAATGACATGAAAAAACACAAAAAATAAATTAAGGATGCATCAATATTAAAATTATGGCTGATACCAAGAACTGATTATTATTTTCATCTTATGGTTGATAACAGATAAATGGTTGATATTGCAATTCTATCCTATTTTGTCGCTAAAAACTAAAATCAGTCATTTTAAATGCTACAAGTGAAAGTACAATATATGTTGTGATTTGCTAAAGATTACATTTACCAGAAATTAACCTTAGATTAAGCTTAAGTTATTGTTAGATACTGTAAAAGGTCATCTGCACACACACACACACACACACACACACACACACACGAACTGATTATTATTTTCATCTTATGGTTGATAACAGATAAATGGTTGATATTGCAATTCTATCCTATTTTGTCGCTAAAAACTAAAATCAGTCATTTTAAATGCTACAAGTGAAAGTACAATATATGTTGTGATTTGCTAAAGATTACATTTACCAGAAATTAACCTTAGATTAAGCTTAAGTTATTGTTAGATACTGTAAAAGGTCATCTGCACACACACACACACACACACACACACACACACACACATATATATATATATATATATACACTGTATATATATATAGTAGAAAATAAGCAGCCACAATGAAATATCCAGAATTGGCCTGAACATAATATATATATAAAATATTGACTAGTAAATTAAAAAATCCCTAATATCGGTAACCAATATTATTGATAACCAATATTGTACTGATTTATCACCTGAGGTCTTGACCTTCCCAACTACATCTAACAAATAAATGAATACAACATACTTTTATACAACCAATTCTTGCAATCACTACTGTTCAAAAGTTTGTGATCAGTAAGATTAAAAAAAATTTCTTATGCTCATCAATGCTGCATTTACTTGATCAAAAATAGAGTAAAAACAGTAATATTGTAATATATTACAATTTAAAATAACTGTTTTCTATTATTCTATTTTAAAGTGTAATTTATTCCTATGATGGCAAAGCTACAGCCATTACTCCAATCTTCAATGTCACATTTCTTTCAGAGAGTACAAAAGCAATGATTTGAAATATAATTTTTTTGTAGCAATGTAAAAGTCTTTACCATCACTTTAAACCAATTTAATGCATCATTTTTTTGAATACTAAAAAAAATTTTTTTTTAATTAATAAATGCTGACTTCCAACTTTTGAACAGTGGTGTAATCTGTTGAATTCATATTCAATTTTGTAAAATATATTTTGATTATTACTTTAATTACCAAAAATGTAACCTTCCTTAAAATGGTAACACTCATGTAGTAACATCATTTAGAGCCTTTCTACAATACAGCCCAAGTAAATAACATCATTCCATTTTTTTAATTGTTACATACAATTGTAAAAACATTTGTACTCTGTATTTGTGGCTTTTTTTCCAAAACAGTTTTTTTAATGCATCTTACACAGATCTAGCAGATAGTAATTAATTAAAAGATATACAACATCAGTATAACAAGAAGAATGCATCCAACCGCTCTTTACTTACAAAGCTCTCGATTCCAATGGTATTCCAACTTTGCATGATGGGAAGAAAAGAGATGAAAATTGGGATGACCCAGCATCCAACCAGCATCAGTGAGACTCTCACAGGTGTCATCTTGTTATTGTAGACCAGAGGCTGACAGCAAATCGCATAGTACCTGCCCAAGACAAGAAGTGCAAACATCTCAAGAATGATACATGGATGCTGTCAGGCAGTACAGTGTCTTTCCTAATCAATGCGTCCCTACATACTGTACTTTCATATACCCAGATGATTCTGCTGATCTTTCCTTGAAAAGCTAATGCTGTGAATTATGTACACCCAGAAAATATGCTCTCACTAGAGACTGTAGAAGCAAAGCCATGAGAATCATATGGATGGAGAAAGGACTTGGTGATACAGTGGGACAGATAAACAGAATATGTTGCTCGAAAGAGAGAGAGAGAGAGAGAGAGGCTTTGAGAGACTAAGAATGAGTCATGTTACTGCCATATGGACCAGGTGCGGTGCATAAATCACAGCTGCTCTCTTACGAGCCAAGAGAGTTGCAGTCTTCCTAATGGGTGAGCATGAGAAAATTTACATACGTAATCCAGCAAATTACACATAATTAGCTGACACGCTGACAAACCCCTGGAGTTAGTGTCAAGACATAAACTATGTCTCTTTTTTTTGTGAGTACATTTCTGAATGTACAGTTCACTCTGTTAGCTGTAAATAAAACACATCTGCTAGGAATAGGACAAAATAGAAATTAGACATAACAATACAGGCTGGACATCATCTTTGCATATAACACAGCAAGGTGCCAGAAAAGCATTGTAGCACATTATAATTTTGTTACGCATGATTACAGGGCTTAAAACCTTTCAGAGTGCCTCTAGTTGCCAAAATGCAAATCCTACAGTTTAGAGAGAGAAAAAAGTAAAATCAACTGTATGAATAAATAAATCCAAAAGTTTGTAACGATAAATCTTTTTTTTTTTTTTTGAAAGACATCTCTTATGATTACCAAGGCTGCATTTATTTGATGAAAAATCAACAGAACAGTAATATTGTGAAATATTATTAGGATTTTAAATAACAGTTTTCTGTTTTAATATATTTTTAAAATACAATTTATTCCTGTGATACAGTCTTCAGTGCCACATGATCCTTCAGAAATCATTCTAAAGTGCTGATTTGGTGCTTAATTATTATTGCAGCTTAATTTGTAATGATATTTCACAATATAACTGTTTTTACTGTATTTTTGATCAAATAAATGCAGCTGTGGTGAGCTTAGAAGACTTCATTAAAAATCTTAATTATTGCGGTTATTTGACTGTTAATGTATATATGTATATAAAATTTATATAAAAAATATGACACTGCATGTCATGAACCAAACAGGTTTTAGAGAGAAAAAAATGTATCATCAAATCTAGCAAAGAAGACTGCTGTCCCAAAACTATTACGTGCACGATAACATGTTCTAATTTAAGACCTCTATTCTCAATATTGCCATGGCAACACAAGCAATTATCTGTGTAGAACAACATTAGTCATTTTTTGTTTCTATATTAGCTTTACAAATGCACTCACCTGTCCAGTGCTATGCAGCACAGATGCAGAATAGACGCAGTGGTTAGCAGCACGTCCAGTGAGGTACGGACCAAGCAGAAACTCTCTCCATATTTCCACTGACCTGTGGTCAGCTCTATGGCTGCCAGCGGCATCACAACAAGGGCAACTAGAAGGTCTGCAAATGCCAGTGATACAATGAAGAAGTTGGTCTTCTTCTTCCTATATACAGAACAGCAAATAAACATAAATAAACAAATAAACTTTAGTTCACTGCAGAAAATGTTTTATTGTCTATACACCGAAAATACTCATGTTTAAGCTGTTATGATACTTTATCATACACAAGAACCCTCACAGACTGATGCATGTCCAGTTATTAACATCATAAATAAATAAATAAAAAATTTATTTAAAAAAATTATGTACATTTTTATCACTATACATCTTGTTATATTACCCTGGCATCGAGTTACAGAAAACTAGTTAACTCTGCTAGTTGAGAGTTTGTAATACAATGGCTGAGAGAGGGATGGCAAATTTGATTTTTTTTTCTTTTGCTGTTAAAGAAAATTGGAACATAAAAAACTATTATTTCTTTCAGTTCACCACTATTGAAGTTTACCCAATTATAATGACCGCAGCTTCTGAGAACACAGGAAATGTTAAAATGATCCATTTGAACTTCATATGAAAAGTATGAACAATCTGCCATTGGTTGGAAAAATAGATGGCTCCACCCCAAACTCATGCCATTGGTTGAGCTATTGTTGCTATGTGGGGCTGGTCAGTAGGGATGGGCCTTCTTATTATTCATTGATACCCCTTATTTTGTTTTCGATACGATACCGATATTTTTCAAGGCAGTATCGTCGATATCGAAACCGATTCGATACTTCTGCACTAAACTTTTAAATGATGAAATTTATGAAATTATTAAATTACTAAGAGTAAAATGGGTAATGAAAACCACTTAACTTTGTTTGAAATGCATTTTAACCCGTTTAATCCCAATTTTTTCCCAGACATGAAAATATCCAAATGATGTGTCATTAGTAACCCTTTGAAATAATCAATATATATATATTTTTATTTTTTTGAAAAGTGTGTGAAAAGTGTATTTTATGGTCAGTCACAATTGTAAACGGTGGGATAATGTGTATACTGAATTAACATATTTCTGCAGTCTTAAAAATTGTAAAAGCTTTAATGCTTTCTTATGATACTTTTGGGAAACGCAGCCCTGTTTGAATGCACTGTCAGCAGTGAGTGAATGCTCTCTGTGATTGATTGGTTCTGTCTTGCAACATTTGCATGTGTTCAGATGAGCAGGAAAATAGTTCTATCCTACACAATTACTCGCTAACAAAGGTTATTCGTCCAATTCAATGCATATTGTATGCATTATTATGATTTTTGTTAAATAAACAAAACCACTGGTAAATAAAACGCACCTTAGTATCGATACTTTCGATACTCGCGTCAGTATCGATATATCGATACTTCGGATCGATACGCCCATCCCTACTGGTCAGAATTCTCAAACAAGCAGAGCAATGTTTTGAAAACACCATAGAACCACAGTGTTACTTGTTTGTAACATTAAAGGGATAGTTCACCCAAAAATGACAATTCTGTCATTAATTACTCACCCTCATCTCATTCGAAACCCGTAAGACCTTCATTTATCTTCGAAACACAAATTAAGATATTTTTCTGACCCTGCATAGACCTCTGTTCAAGGTCCAGAAGGACATCATTAAAATAGTCCATGTGACATCAGTGGTTCAACCGTAATTTTATGAAGCTACAAGAATACTTTTTTGTGTGCAAAGAAAACTAAATAACAACTTTATTCAACAATTTCATCAAAAATATCTTAAATCGTGTTCCGAAGATGAACGAAGGACTTACGGGTTTGGAACGACATGAGGGTGAGTAATTCATGACAGACATTTTTGGGTGAACTAGCCTATTCCTTTAACCTACAAATGCCTTACTTTTAGATATCTTGCATATTAAACTTATATAATATTAATTTATTTTAACATCAAAAATGTACACTGACAAAGCCAATTTAAATGTAGATATGAAGCAGCATTACCTTAGCTGTCTGTCCTTACAGAGAGCCACCATCACAAGCAAATTACCAAGTGCAGTCAGTATAATGATAGTCACCAGGACGATAGACAGCGTTATCTTTGAAGTGTGTTTAGACACACCTTCATCCACTGAACTGTAGACAAAAATATGCAGCCAATTATATATAAACAGATAAGATCAATACTTACATATGTAATAAAATATTTTGAGGTGGTTCTTACTCATCCGCTGAGTCTGATAATGTGGCCATCACTGGTCATCTGTATAGAAGTGGTCAGATGGGGTTTTGTTCACACAAGACAATGCAGTCCCTCTCCTGTGGGATAAACACAAATGTTTTGCATTCTCACATCCCAAATTCAATCATATTCTTTCAGCATGAGATTCATAGTGAGAGCACTGAGACTAAACCATCAGCACGTTTGTAAATGAAACACAGGCTTGTGGGATATAACAAGTAAATATGAGCCATGATGAGTGTCTGACCATCTTCCTTTCTAAGCAAAACTACAGGCTCACAAGAACTAATCATTGCATGCTGTCAGTCAGCATTTTGTTGACTAAATCATTGATTTGAGATTTACTTTGTTACAGAAATTAGGACCTACAAATATTAAATGTTCCTAATAAACTTTGCACATTGCAAATAACCTAATAAACTTTAAACATTGCAATGCAATGTCTAAAATGTGCAAATTTGAGTGGAATACAATACGTGTGAATTTTTGATATTATTAGCAGTATTCGAGAAATGAAGCCATTGTAAACTGACTTGGAAAGTGATTTTTTCTCTAGCTTGCTTCCTTACTTGGCATATTATGATTATTACAACTACAATTAATATATTTGTTTTATATATTTACATTTACATTTATGCATTTAGCAAACCCTTGTATATATATAAATAGAATAATAAAATAATTATATGATTAATTATATACACCAGGGGCATAGATTACGCGGGGGACGTGTCCCCCCCCACTTTTAATATCACGTTACTCCAGTCACACGATCCTTCAGAAATCATTCTGATTTGCTGCTCAAAAAAACATGTATTATTATGATGTTGAAAACAGCTGAGTAGAATTTTTTCAGGTTTCTTTGATGAATAGAAAGTTCAGAAGAACCGCATTTATCTGAAATAGAAATCTTTTGTAACATTATAAATGTCTTTATCATCATCCTTGCTAAATAAAAGTGTTAATTTCTATAATTTCTTTTCCAAAAAATAAAAATTATACTGACTCTAAGCTTTTGAATGGTATAGTGTATAATGTTACAAAAGCTTTTTATTTCAGATAAATGCTGATCTTTGGATCCTTCTATTCATCAAAGAATCCCGAAAAAATGTACTCAACTGTTTTAAATATTGATAATAATAATAATAATAATTTAAAAAGGTTTCTTGAGCAGCAAATCAGCATACTTGAATGATTTCTGAAGGATCATGTGACACTGAAGACTGGAGTGATGATGCTGAAAATGTAGCTTTGATCACAGGAATGAATCTAATTTTAAAATATTTTCAAATAGAAAGCAGTTATTTTAATAATAAAAATATTTCACAATATTACTGCTTTCGCTGTATTTTGGATCAAATAAATGCAGGCTTGGTGAGCAGAAGAGAATTCTTTAAAAAAAAAAACATAAAAAATCTTACTGTTCAAAAACTTTTTACTGGTAGTGCAAGTGTCCATACAAATACTCAAAATGTTAATATTAATACATTTTGAATATTAATATGTATAATTATTTTACTATCCTATTCATTTGTGTGTGTGTTGTAATATAACTTTCCCCACACTTTATAGACTTTATAGATGTTTTTGCAAACACATTTCAGATTTGATGTCAAAGAAGGAGTACTTGAGCCTTACTGATGGTACTGTGGGGTACATAAAACACAAAAAGTTGAAAAATACTGGCCTAAATTGAAGTCATATGTCTTATTATACCCTCAAAACACATCAAATATTGAAGGTAAGACATTGAAGATAGAAAAACTTCAGCACAAAGTGCATGCACTCCATCATCACTCCGTTAATACCCACAGTGGCCAAATCACACCCTGTGCCTGTGGCGCTGGAGCCATAACTCACGCAGAAGTGGAGAGAGCTCTCACAGAGTAAACACTGGAAGCGTGTGATGCATTTGCCCAGCTGGGAGGCTCAAGTGGGTATTACAGAGACAGCTTGGACACTTCTTTCCTGTTCTGTTGCTTTCGTTTGAGTTTCAAATGAGCCACATGATTATTATAGCCCTGTATCAAACACGCTGAACAAAACAGGCTATTCTAAACAGCTACACAGTTGATTTACACATGATTCTTGTGTAGGAAAAAGTAAAAGGGTCATTCTACAAAACAGGTGCCACTTGTTTCCCTCATATGCATATGTGTAAATTAATGTAACAATCAACATCTGTAGGCAGCTTTTACTATGTGTCAACACAGAATATTGCGAAACCCCTAAGGAGACATGATGATGAAAAAGAATATGAAATTATATATGAGAAATATATATGATGAAACCGATACCGCATTTTAATGCTTTTGATGTATCTTGCAAATTTTTGTGTTCACCCAAGAAACTTTGCATTTGCAAAAGTTTTGTATTCTTTGAGCAAACACAAAATTTCTCAGAAAATACAAAAGCTTTGAATTATTATTTTATATTGGAATTTAGTATTTTGGAATAATTTTTAACTGGCATATTGTATTAGTATAAATCCTTAACAATGTCCCTAGTTTGTGTGTCAATCCTGTTAGCATCATACAATATATGTCCAGTTATAATGCACTATTATTTCATAAATCACACTTTCAGTAAGTAAATTTTAAGGACAAATTAAAGTTTCTTCCTTTTACCACTTTATCCAAGATTTTGTCATGTTTGTCAGTAGGTGACAATCTTAATGTCAACCCTGTTACCATGTTTTTGTACGGTAAAAACAAGACAAATGAAAAGTATTCATCTATAAAAACATTATTAAATTATTAGAAAGATATTAAATTATCTTTCTAAGAAGCAACATTGATTCATAATCTTGAGCACAAGACTTGTCAAATTAAACTGTAACTGTCAACTCTGTTACCTTTCAGAATCTACACAATTATTGTTCTAAAATGCATCCATTAAGCTTACATCACCATCATGCAATTAACTCTTAACACACATATTATGAGGTTTCAGTCTTAAACTTTTTTAAAAATCATATGAAACTTCAAAATCAAACGGGGACAGGCACCCGTTTCATCAAATGACCCAAAAAGACAGCTGAGCTGAAGTATGAAAACTGATGCCATGTGACACGACACTAAATTTGACTAATCTTGTCTCATAAGATCTAAAAGTTCACTGTTTCCTTTAGCTCAAGGGATTTCAAACATAGTTAACTGTCTGAAGCATATAGATCTATTCTAAAAAAAGGAATCTGAACATTCCTGTTTTCACAAAAGCATTAAATAAACTGGGTATTTGTGAATAAACATTCCTAATGAACATGTTATACTTGAAACCGCACCCAAAAGTGGATACATCACAACCTGAATGCTTCATTATCCAACAATTGACAAAAACAGTAAAACATGGTTGTATTAAACAAAACATTAGACTAACATATTACAATGATACAGGTATAGGTACAGGTACAGCAAACACTCATAACTCTTGGCAAGTTACTGTCACTTTAATATATTGGCAATACTTACTGGTAGTTTCTCTGATTTGATTGATTTCTCTTATAGGAAGGTTAACGTGACATAATTGACATAATGAAAAGAATCTGCACTGACAAACCCTCTAATAACTGATTTCGACACCTTCCTACACAACGTCTTTTTTCATTTCATGCCACCAGGAAAACTGAGTGGCATTTGCATTTAAAGGGATAAATCACAATCTGTGGTGAAAAGAAAACATAAGCCATAAGCCTCACACAAGTTATGAGAGTGACATTTTCACACCATCATAAAACCCATATTTGAGTAACACAAATGTAATGGTCTTAAACACACATTTATCATGTAGTTATGGATTTACATATCTATATACAACAATAACAATCCGTAAAATGGTCTTTGATCACAAAAACATACAATCAAATTATCATTATATGTATGGTTTTCACATTAACTGACTGAAAAGGATTTCACAAAGTTCTTGCTCATCAGAAAATAAAAAAATAAAAAAGAGTAAAAGCTATTTTGAGGTTTCAGTCTTGAAAGGATCCGTCCTTCTCAATCACAGTTGCACCCAAATTCCTCTCAAATCTGATTAGTGAACAAATAAACTCTGATATTCTCTAATTGAAACTAAGAACTCCAATATTGTAAAAATGCAAATGGAATAATTTTTGGGATCTAACTTGTTATTAGTAACTTGAATAACAACAATAATAACAGTACTACTATTATTAAAATATTTTAAAAGAGACATTAACGGTACGTTATGGTGTTTATAATGACCTGTTGCACATTTTGACACTTTAAGGCATTTAAGTGCAAAGCAGCATCATTCAGCTAAGTTTACTCACCCAGGGGCTTGTTTCAGACGTCTTTGTGAATCCACACGTATTTCTATAAACTGTCATATTCCATCCCAGTTAGTCGGAGACTGAAGTGCTCTTCTCTGCCCTGTGTTACAAGTCAAACAGCTGCAGCAAACAGCAGATCATCTATTGATGTAAGTGCACCGGCGCTCTGAGTCTCTGCCTGTCCAAAGCACACGAGTCTGAAACAAACCATAACAGAGCAACAGCGCCACCTGGTGTTTCACATTACATTACTGAGCTTAGACAAAATAAAGGCTCATCGAATCTACGTACTACGTACAAATGTTTTTTTTTGTACAAAAAATTATATTATATGTGCAACATATATATTATAGTATTACATAGTAATATATATATACATATGTAGCCCTATATCATATATGTATCTGTCAGTCGATTAAAATCTTTAATCTAATTAATTGCATGATGTTTCGATTAATTAATCTAATTAATCGCAAAATAAATGTGACTGTGAAAATACCCACAAAAGGTTATTTAAAGATATTTTTGTTAAATGAGAAAGTGTCAAGTAGACATTACAAACTGTAGCTTTAGAAATATTTGATTTGATTCAACAAAAAAATGTATTACGCATAAACATTTAGGCTACAACGGCCTAACATAAACTATGGAACATAAAAGAAGATAATTTGAGAAACATCTCAGTAGGCCTATTGTTTGTTCAAACAATGAAAGTCATTGGTAACCAAAATACCTTTCTTAACCATAACAGAGCAACAGCGCCACCTGGTGTTTCACATTACATTACTGAGCTTAGACAAAATAAAGGCTCATCGAATCTACGTACTACGTACAAATGTTTTTTTTTGTACAAAAAATTATATTATATGTGCAACATATATATTATAGTATTACATAGTAATATATATATACATATGTAGCCCTATATCATATATGTATCTGTCAGTCGATTAAAATCTTTAATCTAATTAATTGCATGATGTTTCGATTAATTAATCTAATTAATCGCAAAATAAATGTGACTGTGAAAATACCCACAAAAGGTTATTTAAAGATATTTTTGTTAAATGAGAAAGTGTCAAGTAGACATTACAAACTGTAGCTTTAGAAATATTTGATTTGATTCAACAACAAAAATGTATTACGCATAAACATTTAGGCTACAACGGCCTAACATAAACTATGGAACATAAAAGAAGATAATTTGAGAAACATCTCAGTAGGCCTATTGTTTGTTCAAACAATGAAAGTCATTGGTAACCAAAATACCTTTCTTTATGTTCCACAAAAAAAAGGTTTGAAATGACATGAGAGAGAGAGTAAATTATGACATACATGTGTCAGTTGTTATATTGAGCAAAATAGGATGTTATAGTAGTACAATGTCAAAAATAGAAATGGGGGATAAATGATTATGAACTAAATGGTTAGGGAATAAGTAATCTGATGATGTATGAGATTGAAGATCCTCAGGCTGAGGCTTCGTTAGACCACTAGATGGCGAAAGATCCCCATACATAGCCCGCATCTTACTAAATGACAAGCATATTGTGCTGCTGAATGTGTTTGTCTTTAGTATACATTTGCTAGGTCGATCAAATCATGAGATATAGTCCATATCAATTATTTACATATTTACAGATGTGGTTAAATAACCTGGAAAGGACATTGCAAAGTAGGTTTTTCATGCCCTGCAAAAACTTGTGTAGGCCTTGGTCACACAAGTAAAAATTATGTACTGAATAGACTAAAACACAATATAATAATAATAATAATAATAATAATAATAATAAAATGTGTTGCAATGTTGACTCCTGATAAGAAATTATTTAGCAAACAAGAACTGACTTTGATTTGCATTCATAGTGTTGGTAAAACAAAGTTAAGATCTTCTGTTGGTGGACACCTCATGTCTTCAGCTGATCTTCAGTCTGCAATATTAAATGAAACGTAGCTTGCATTCAGTGACCTTACATGACCTTACTACTATTGTCAGATTATTAGAAACTCATGAAAATATATATATATATATATATATGTTAGGCTGAATGTTAATTACCAATAATTTACAACTACAACATTATCACTGGAAACTCACCAAATTAAATAATATAAAAATACAATAAAATAACAATTATTATTGTCAATGTATTACAACTATAACATCAATCAATCCAAACTAAAAATGTTATTACTGCAAATTCATTAAATTAAATCATATAAAAATAGCATACGCACTATAAAATGTTATTGGAAATTAATCAAATTAAAAAAATAAAATAAACGAAGATAATTACAAATTCTTATTAAAAATTTATTATTGCCAATGCTTTACAAAGCTCCAGCTATGTTTGTCTTAAGTCTTTTATAAAGGTTGGTTGTCAGCTGTTAAATCAGACCTAGATTTCATCATGGAAAAAATAAATGATGTTGATGAGCTTGGCAGATGCAGGATAGAGTTAATCTTAAATGGTTTACTGGGCAGCGTGTGCTTTTTCTCAGACATGTGCCTCACAGACTCGCTGGGTGAAAATAATGATTTGCATGACTCTTGTTCAGTCTGTTGTTATTGATTTACTCTCAAGCAGTTGTTATGAACCAGAGAGTCGAACATGTTCCCAGCACAAGTGTGAGCGACGATCGAGGGTAAAAGAGAATAAATATACTCCTACACCATCATTTTTTGTTCCAACATTCTGTTTAATCGCTGTGGTTACAGAGAAGCGCCGCTGTAAATTGGTAAAAGAGATGTGTGTTAAATCTTCATGATTTGCGCATAGGGGCTTTCATTGCTTGCCCTTGTCCCTCAACTGAATAATGCATAGGTCAGAGCTTACAGTAACTCTTGGCTTATGATTAGAAATTGATTGATATGTGCAGTCTGTTTGAGTGAGAGGACCTGGGCTCAGGAGCTGAGGTCATCGCACCACATCCTCCTCTGAGCCATAAAATCAAAACACACATCCTGAGTGCAGGGGTAAAGCAAGACACACACCACCTGCACTTCGGAGCTTGCGCATGCAACCTTAGGGTGCTTTATAATTCCCCAGCTGTTTGGAAATGAGTGAATAATCCCGGCAAATGGAGCAGCGTGTGTGCCTAGGCATTTTCAGCATCCTGTGTCCACACCGCCAAAGTGTATTATTAACCTCGGGGAGGTCAGCGAGTCAGGCCGTTCTCTGAAAAGGAGCAGAGCAAGTTTCCAGTGAACCTGCTTTGGAATTTATCACACAGAACTGATCAGTTTAGCTGGCACAAGAGTTAATATTCAAACCGCTCAGAGGATCTGAAAATGATCTATTTGGAACTATATTGTGAAAGCTATGTAAACACATTTATATATGGCTGTTCAGTCAAGGCTAATTCACACTTTTTTGATTAATGAATAAAATAAGATCTGTCGTTGACAATATTTGAAGGCTTTCACACTTTGTTCTATACATACACTACTGTTTACAAGTTTGTAGTCAGTAAGATACATTTTTTAAAGAAATTAATACTTGTATTCAGCGAGGATGCATTCAATTGATCGAAAATGTAAGTAATGACATTTATAATATTACAAAAGATGTCTATTTCAAATAAACGCTGTTCTTTTGAACTTTTTATTCTTTAAAGAATCCTGAAAAAAAAAAAACATATCCCGGTATCCATAAAAATATTAAGCAGCACAGCTGTTTTAAACTTTATTTTTTAACTGAAAAATTCTAACTTTTTATCTCAGGAATAAATTACATTTTAAAATATAATAATTACCAGGTAAATAACCAATTAAACAATTACATTAAAAAAATTATGTATAACTAAAACTAAACCATTTAAAATAAATAGAATGTTACTTTAAATTGTAATAATATTTCACAATATTACATAGTTATAATATTTCACAAATACACATTTACTATATTTTTGATGAAATAAATACAGTAACGGACTTCTTTTAAAAATCTTACTGACCACAAATTTTTTAACTGTTGCTGGGCAACAATTAATCGCATTTGTGTACATAATATATGTACTGTGTATATTTATTATGTGTATATAAATACACATGTATATATTTAAGAAAAATATGCTATGTTTATATGTTACATATATTGTCACGATGTGGGTAGATGAGGCACACAGCAAAGGGGTAATCCAAAAGGTGAGTCTTTAATTATCAATCCAAGAGTGTAATACAGAATAACAGAGGCGATAAGCACCGCAACGTAGCTTCAAAGCAAGACAAGGGAACTGAGGAAAACACAGGGTATATAAACACATGGAACGTAATTAAGGAGAACTGAAACAAGTGAGGAGTAATCAATCAAAACAGATGAACAGAATAAACGATGATTAACTAAATGAGAACAGGAACTGAACCAAATAGGGGCAAACAGGAACTAAACAGAAACAAACGTGGCATATATAATATAAATGATATTAACATAAATATACATGTGAATACATGTGAATATTTTTAAAATATATACTGTATGTGTGTGTCTTTACATATACATAATAAATACAGTATACACAGTACACACACATATATTACATAAACAAAAACTTTATTTTGGATGCGATTAATCGTTGCCCAGCACTAATTTTTATATTTTCCGTTTTATTATTTCAGTCAGTTCAGTACATCAAGTTAAACTAAATGAAAATTTGAAATTTTTCCTTGGCAAGTGGCTGAAATAAAATAAGTTTAGGTTTTTGTATATTTTATTTTATTTCAGCTAACATTTACTTTATTTCGAGTAACAACATTTTTTTAATGGTTTTAGTTAACTATAACAACCCTTCCTCAGACATGAATACTGAAGCTGTTATGTACAAACTGCTAACAAGTTGCTATTTAACAACTAAAAATCATTGTGGAAAACTGCAACATTCTACATGAGCATGGAAGTATCTTACAACAGATTTCACACAACAAACTTGCAATTAATTTCAAAAGTGTTCAGAAATTCTTCACTAGAGATCAGAACAAATGGCGGCGCTCCAAGTCTGCTTTTCATTATTTATGTTTGTCAGATTGTTAGGCCATGAGCCAAGTCTAGCCAAGTCTGTTTCATATGCTGTCCTAATACATAAAACATCAACACCTGCTCCATTCTCAGGAAGGATTGAGCTGTTTCCTACTTTAAAAGAACTCACTCTCTATATATTC